CCCCCTGCCGGTACCGGAGCCGAGCTCCCCCTGCCCGTACCGGGCTGCTCCGGAACAAAAGGATTCCCGTTCCACGTCGTTCCCGGATGATTGGCGAGCCCGGCGGCAGAACCGAGAGGAGCAAAAGGAGGTACCGGAGCCCTTCGGTGCCCGGTGCTTGGCGACAAACCCCGAGAGCAGAAACAACACAGCGCTGCTCTCAAGGTGAAGAAAAGTTTATTTTCTGCTCCAATATTTATAGTTTTCCAAAGTGCCAGTGTGTTGGAAAGTGACAGTGCCACCTCTGCAATGACACTGGACAAACCAACAGCCCATCAGATTTTTCCTCCACAAAAGAACAATGAGTTATTTACAGAAATTGTGTGAGAAAGTTTGTTACAAGAATGTAATCATCGGAAGGCTTAGAAAATCTTAAAAGATCAGGGTGACACCCCCAGGGCACTGGCACAGGTGTGAGGTGTCCCCAGACTCCACCTTGACACTGTGACAGTGACACTGCAGCATTTGCTGCCCAGGTCACAGATTTGGCCATTGCTGATTGCAGCTTTCCAACTTCCTCCTGGGAAATACAACGTGTGCTCCTATTAATAGAAGTTCATGGTTTCCAATGAATTTTTTCCCTTTCACTCAGGCTGGTTTGGTGGCCCATGCAGTGCTGTGCCAGCTGCCTGTGGCTTTTATTAGATTTTCGGATTTATTTGGATTTTTCAGAGGCCTTGATTTAGTGCTCACAGTTGCATCCCAGACCAGTGGCTCTGGAACTCAGCCCCTCAGGAGCAGAGATAATTAGAACTCAGGGAAAAAGTGATGTCCGAGTGTTTGAACAAAAGAAGTCTTGTTTGAGGAATGTGGTGCTGGAGGGCAGCGTTTGCCAGCCGGGTTTGAATCCCCCTTGGTGCCTGCAGTCAGATCCTGCCCTCCACAGACAACTCCGGGTGGGATTTTCTGGGAGCCTCTCTCAAAATGGAGGCACGGTGCCCTGCAGCAAGTACAGGATGTATCCTGGGAATTGTATTTCTGCAAGCAGGGCAGGAGGGGGCTGCTGGAAGGATGTGGGCAAGCAGGAAAAGAGCTGAAGAGGCGCTCACAAGATTCTTGTACAGGGCAGATGAAGAGGCGAACAAACAACGCAGAGAACAGGAAAAATGATGTGTTAGGGAATGATGGATCCATCCCCCGGGCTCCTGCTGAGGAGGGTGGGACAAGCTCCATGATTTCTGGCAGCCATGAGCTGCAGCTGCTCCACTCAGCTCCTGTGCTGCAGCCAGATGTGTTTGAGTGCAGCTTCAGCCCTTCCTGCCCTGACACAGCCCCAGCAGTGCCTCCAAACGTGTGTTTGGGGGCTGTCCCAGCTCCCCTCACCTCCAGGGAGGCTTTCCCAAGGGAGCAGCAGTCAAGTTGAAGCTCTGCTGTTCTGTATCCTGTTGTTTTCCTGGCAGGATTGTTGCAGTTTCCTGCGCTGTCTTATCTGGAGCAGGGAAGTCAGAGCTCTCCAATCCTGTGGCTCTGTGTGCATGTCCCAGGTTCTAATCTGCAAAACAGGCACTGGAGCCCCTGAGAGGCACCAGGCAGGGCTGTCACAGGGCAATGGGACAAGGACACAGGGGGCAAAGGGCTTTTAGTGCCTCCAAATTAGTGTCTTTGTGCAGAGCTCCTGTTTGCACAAGGCTGTGTCTGTTTTATGGGTTCAGGCCTTCAGCACACCTGGGAGGGGGAGAGAGGAAGATCCCAGTGGTGACAATCTCAGGTCACTCTGTGTCCTGACAGACCTTACAGGGGGAGAAATCCCAGAAAGTGCTGAGTTTGCTTTCCCCTCCACCGAGGACTCAAAGGACACGTATAAAGTCTTAAAACATTAAAAAAAAATCATTTCCGTGTTTTAGTCAGCCCAAAGTTCAGTTTCCCCTGAAGTGCTGGAGACTCTTGTGAAATTACCTGGCCACGTTTTCTGGGATACAGAGGTAAAATCATCACCCACAGCACTGAGGGCTAGAAAGCCATGCAGAGCAGGGCCTGAGAAATCCAAACCTTGTAAATTAAAAAAAACCCCAATACCATCAACAAAAAAACCCCAAAACCTAAAAACAAACCAAAAAACCAACCAAAAAAACCAACCAAAAAAAAAAACCCCTCAAAACCAGAAAACAAAACTAAAAATTTCCCAAAACAAACAAACAAAACAAAAAAAAACCCACCAAAAAACCACTAACCCCCAAAAAACCTCAAAACTAACCAACCAACCAAAAAAAGGTAAAGGCAATTACTTGATAAGGTTAAAAGCAGAGTTTTGTGGAGAGACACCCTATTTTTATACAAAAAAAAGAAACCCCAACTTTATTTTTTCCACGAGTGAGCCTGAATTTACCTAACTCTAGGTTTTAGCAGTAGACTGAATTCCCTGTGGGTTTAAAAAAAAAAAAAAATAAAATCCTTTACTGTACAGCTCTGGAATGTCCTGTTTTCCTGCAGCAAGGTGTGGGTCCTGTACACAGTGTCCATTATCAGATGGGAGCCTCTCCTGGAAAGAGGATTAACCCACAACATCACTCCAGCCACACAGCCACTGAATTAGGCTCCAAAACAAGCAAAAAACTCCAAACTCTAAGCCCAGATTCTTTTCCAGGTAAAAACTGTGGCAAAGATAAAAATGGATTTTTATTATTCAAAGGGAAGACAGTTCAGCCTTTGGGGAAAGGACAGTGGTCATTTTTCTCACTCAGCTGTGAATCCAGACTGATTCCACTCACCGTTCCTTTGAGGGAATCTCAGCTGCTGCAAATCTGAGGGTCACAGCAGCCTTTGGGTCTGTAGCTGAGCACCAGAGCCTGTGCTGGGAACTAAACAGCAAAAGAAGAAAAAAAGAGGGCTTTTTTCTTTCAAAGAGCTCAGGAAGAGGAAGACATGTGCCTGGAGATAAGGGAAGATAAAAGCATTCCATTTGCAGAGGGCTGTGATAGGGATCAAGATGTTCATCTGCCAAGTCAGTGATTTTGTGGCCCTGTGACCATTGGGAGCTTCCCGTTCCTGTTACCTTTTCCCACACTGGCTGAAGGCACCAGATTGTTGGCATGGAAGTTGCTTTGAGTCTGTCTGAATGGCTCAGCCCTTTCAGGGAAAAAATAAACTTGAAGATAAAACTGTCTTTTGCTTCAGGAGGGAAAATGGTTCTGCCCCAAGTAGGCTGAACTTGAAGATAAAATTCTCTTTTGCTTCAGGAGGGAAAATGGTTCTGCCCCACGTAGAGCTTGTAGGGGGTCAGTGGGAGCAGAGTGTGAGCTTCTCTGCCCTGAGGAGGTGGGAACAGGTCAGACACCTCTGGGGAGAAGTTTGGGCAGAGCCTGTGAGGGGTCAGGGCAGCTGAAAGGGCCACTGGCTGTGATTCCCTGCCCTGTTTGCTGAGGTTCATCAGGAGTGAGCTCACAGGAACAGCAGATCCCATGCAAGGCCTTGATTAACATCAGGAGCTCAGATTGCATTTGCTGCTCCCAAAAAGGCTTTTATTGTCTGATTTTTTTTTTTTGTTAAAGCAGCAGCAGATTTCAGTAAAATATTCTCATTTAATCCCGCCTTTGCACATTCCACATGCTGGCACGTGCATCAGCCAAGCATTTGGGCTAAAATTATCTGTGCTATCATTAGGAATGAACATATGGATTGATGGAAGTGCAGAAAGGAGCTGTGTGCTGTGCTGCAGGCTCACCATGAAGGGAGCAGTTCCTGGTCAGCTGGCACCTGTCAGAGGTATGAGCTGCTCTCTTTGGGCAGGAGAAAGAGAACAACTCCCACAGTTGGGCTGTGCTGGGTGGGCACTGAGGGCACCCAGGGCATTGGGCACTGAGGGCACTGGGCACAGTGCCAGCACTCACAGCCCTTCCTGCCCTTTTGCTGCTGGCTTCACCCTCAGTTTGCACCTCAGGCAGCCTTCACCCTCACCCTCTGAGATACATCCCTGAGTTCATGGATTGCAGAGCAGCCCTACAGCTGGGATGGGCTTCTCCCATGCTGCCCAGCTCTCTGGGAGAGCAGGAGCCCCAGGGCTGGAGCTCCTGTGCCTGTTCAGGTGTGCTCAGGTTGCTCAGGTGTGTTCAGGTGTGCTCTCAGCAGCACACACTCACAGACCACCCATCAGGGCCTGTTCTCGCCAGGAGCTGAGCTCTGTGTAGCCAGAACTGCTCAAAACACCTGCTAAAAGAACCACTTCAGACAAGGTTCCAGTGTTTTCAGCATTGCCTCTTTTCCCATCACTGACTGCAGAGATTTTAATTAATCACAGACTGAGATGTGAGCATGTGGTGTCAGTGATGTCTCCTGGGCTGCTGTGGTGCTGAGGACATGCTGCATGTCCCCTGTGACACAGGAATGACTTCCAGGCATGGAGCCTTCCAGACAGAGGGGGGAGGTTCACATTTAGTCTGTAATATAAATACAAGTTGCATGTGCAAGTCCTTCAGTTGGGAAACTGCCTCTTGTTGCTGTTTGCAGAGTCAGAGGATGTCAGGCTGAAGCAGCCTCACCATTCCTTGTTCTCTCTCTGCAGTTCAGCACTTGGAGACACACAGAGCTTGCCAAGCCCAGAGAGCTGAAGGAATGGCTTGCAGAGCTCAGTTTGTAAAATTCTGTTTTCAGTGTTTATATTTGGTTTCCGTTCCGTTGGTGTTGCAGGGGCTGATCCTGCAAATATTTACCCCAGGCAGGTTTTGCGTGTAGAGTTGCTGGGAGTGCAGTGGGAGCTCAGCCCAGGGAGGGCACAGGCCTGTAGTGGGCTGAGCATGGAGAAATTCAGTTGCATCTTCAGGTTAGGGTTTTCTATATGTACATAAATGCTTCTCCATGTATGTAACACACCCATGTGATGATCCTTTCAGGTTCTGAGAGAGAAAGGACACTCAAAGCATCACTTACTGATTGATCCCCACCTGAGAGAAGGCTCAGTGAGACAGAGAGCAGCAGCATGGTGAGTGTTCTGTTATGGCATAAATGATAGCACAGACAAGAAAGAATGAACAAATTGATTTTTAGAAGGAGTCCTGAGATGAGATTGCTGGTCTAGAATTATTGCAGTGCTGGGGAGGGACAGAAACAGCCCCAGGACTGCTTCTCTCTCTCATGTTTTCTCCAACACCTTTACAGAGTGAGAGCAGTGACAGAGGGTGCAGCAGTTCCAGTTCCCTTCACACAGATCTCTCCAACCTTGTGATCTGGGCACACACTCATGGCACCATATGCAACCAGATCCCAGGCCTGGAATTCATGGAGAACGCAGATCATGATGTGAGCAGTGACAACGCTGTGCTGTGGATGTGCAGAGCTGGACATGCCTACCACTGGCACTGTGGGAAGTCACACAACACAGGTGAAGAAGCGCCTGAGGCTCTAGGAGGGAGAAAGAGGCTCTTGCCTTCTGAATCTTTGGCAAGGGAATCCAGCTTTAAAGAAAAGAGGCTCAGGCTGGCCCCATCATCTTTTGAGATGGACCAAGAAGATTCTGGGAGCACAGAGTCATGTGGCAGATCCCAAGGGGTCGCTGAGCAGAAGGCTGGCAGTCCCTACACAAGGAATAAGGAGCCCAAGGGGAGTCAAAATAGCAGGAAACACAAATTCTCTGCAGCAGAGCAGCACTTCTCTGAGTCTGGTAGTAGAGTCCAGACTGGTGAGCAGCATGTGAAGTCCAAAACGTACAAAGATGCAGAGATCATTATCTCTGATGACGAGCAGTGTGAGGCAGATGAAGACAGCAAAGGAGACAGAACCAGCCAGGATAATGTGTCAGAGCCATCTGCTGAGAAGTTGCAGATGCAACACTGCCAGAAGATGGCATTGCACCAGCCAACAGCCTCCCCAAAAACTGCCTTTGCCCCCACAGCAAAGCCATCCCTGGCCCGTGCCTACATTCTGCCGGCTCATGTCAGCAGCTCAGAGGATCTGAACAGGAACATCCTGAGGCTGGCTCCTTCCACTGCTGCAGGGCCCGTGGCTGAAACTTCCAGAGCAAGGAGCCTCCCGGGGTCAGCAGCACCAAAGGTATGTCCCAAACCCCTTCCTGTCCCCAGCACTGAAGCCGAGGCCCAGCTTGAATCCCAGCCCTCAGTGATGTTCTTTGAGCTCCAAGCCACTACTGCTGCTCAGCAACATCTCCAGCTGAGCCCTTCACAGTGTGGCACACTGGGAATGGGCTCCAGTGGGGATGGTGCTGAGAACGTGGGTGAGAACAGTGACACATCAGGATCTGAGCAGGAACCTTCTTCTTCAGCCTTCCAGAGTCCAGAGGGACATCCACCTGCAGCCTCAAATGGAGGTAAGGCAGCGTGGAGTTGTGTGCTTGCAGGGCTGTGGGGGTGTTCCATTAATCACTTTCCCAAAATATCCAAGGAGGGTGAGTTCACATCACTGCCAAGATCTGTTTACTGCAGCATCCAAGGAAATCTCTTGGATTTGGGGCACTCCTGTTTCTGCTTGAGGGGACTACAAAGCTCCTTGCCTAAAGGAATTGGTGCTTTTGTAGGGAATGCCCTTCTCTGGGGTACCCAAAGGTGTTCTTGGCTGTGGCCCAGTCCCAACATCCCAGTTTGGATACTTTGGTCTTCCATTTTACCCAGTACCCCCACACAGTATGTTGGCTGTACTTGAGAGAGTTCCTGTGGGGAAACTGGAGCTAGAGCAGGGAATTCAGGTCTGAAGAGAAAGAAACGAGAGGAAATAATGCAGAGAAATTGTGGCCAGAGCTCTTTCTGCACCAAGGCCAGTGGCAAAACCTCCCAGTGCTAGCAGAATGTCAGTCCTGCATAGGAGGTGCAGGGCTCCACACATTGCTTTAGCCCTTTCAATAATTAAGATTTTTGTATGTGCTGTCCTGCAGCACAGGGGCTGGGCATGTCCTTGTGAAGGGCAGAGGTGCTGAGGCAGCATTTGGGGTCTGCCTGGGATGTGCTTGGCCTTGAAAAGGCTTAGGGGTTGTTGTTCCTTGTGGAGCCATAACCACACAAACTGCCACAGTTGGGGTTGGGGAGCAGTATTTGACTATTTTCATAACTGACATCATGTGTCATGTGAAGGGACTGGGAATTCTTCTGGGAATGCCTGTAGTAGCTGTTTCTGCCAAGGTAACTGGCTCATGGCTCAGAGGAGGCCTCAGCATGATTGATTCATGAGCTGTTCCTCTCTGCACCTGGAGCAGCCAGCGCAAAACAGGCCAAAACCCCAAAAAACTGGGACAGCCATCAGTCTTTCAGGATGGCAACAAAACCTATAAAAAAGAACCTGGTGCAAAAAAGGGTTCTAGGTGTTGGCTTTTCCATCACCCCATCCTCAGCCCTGGCCGAGTCACAGGCGAGCAGATGGAGCTTTCCAGCAATCCAAAGAATTCATTTCTCATGCTACATCGAGCTAGGTGGATGTGGGATTGCCATGGCAACTTGAGAGAGAGCCCAACTGCAATCCTGGCAGTCCTTTAAACAAAATCATAGTAGACTTTTACTCACCTGTTTGTTCTCCCCCACCATCCACCCCAACCTTTGGTTCATGAAAGGGAAGTGTCCCTGTGTGGCAATGAGCAGGGCCAGCTGCCAAGGGAGAAGGACCCAACTTTCCCTGGATAGCTGGGCACTGTCGAGTTGTGCTGTTTGTGGAGAGAACAAATATGACCTACAGTTCTAGAGGAAGGGGTTTGGGAGAGTCCTGTCCTCTCTGAATGGCTTCCAGAAAGCAGAGATAGACACTATCCTTTATCTCCTTGTGTTTTCCTGATCTTTGTGGATTCTCCCTGTCCACAAAACTATATCTTTTCTTTTAGATGCGCTGAAGAAGCAGGAGAAAAAGAAAAGCAATACCATGGGACACATAAAAGTGTTTGAAGAGTGGCTGAAGGGGCACTACCCCTCCGAGACACGCGAGATCCACAGGCTGCCTCCCGCAGACCTCGACCAGTACCTGGTGTCCTTCTTCAGCTGTACCAAAAAACAGAATGGCAAGGAGTTTTCTGCCAGTTCCTTAAACATCTTCAGGTACAGCATCAACAGGTACCTCCAGGAGCACCACTACCAGTACAGCATATTGAGAGGGCCAGAGTTCAAGGCCTCTCAGGAAGCCTATAAATTAAAATATCGGCACTTGTTTCAAACCAAGGAGTTACAGTGCAATGCTGTGGAGAGCCTGACAAGTGAAGATGTGGAAAATCTTCTTAAGAAGGGAATTTTAAGCAAGACAAACCCTCAGGGCTTGTTGTACCTCATGTTCACCAACCTCATTAGGGGGTTTGGGGCAAAGACCCACTACCAGGCCCACCAGCTGTGTTGGGGACAGGTGGTGCTGAGGAAGAGCAGAGGGGTGGAGTACTTGGAGTGGAAGGATGATCTGAGCCCCGAGGGAAATGAAGGGGAGCCAAACCCACTGCTCTTTGCCAAGCCTGAGGATCCAGAGAACTGCCCGGTCTCCAGTTACAAGGAGTATGCCAGGAGGAGGCCAGCAGACATGCTGGATGACACCCACCCTCTTTACCTGTCTCCCGTGCCACTGTACTCTGTCTGGGACAAAGTGTGGTACATCAGAAAGCCACTGTCAAAAGCCAAAATTAATAATATCTTGAAAGTTATTATGCAGGAAGTCAGAGGAGCAGTAAAGAAGACCAGGAAATAGGGGTGTCCCTTCAGCTTTGCCCTTCAACCACTCCAAGGCTGCTCTGAAACACAATCCTACTGCAATATTTGGTGTAGGTTGAGAGCAGACATCCTTCTGCTGAGCTTCACCTTGGCACTGAAGGTACCTACACATCTGCAGTGCCTTGGCTTTCAGGGAAGTTCTTTTATTGTTGTTTCTGTTACTGGAATTGATAATTCAGTGAGTTAATGAGAGTCTTCAGTTTCACATTTGCCAAACGAGTTAATGTTCTACCACATTGTCAATGCTGTTAGAAACCACCACTGCTGACACACAGAGGGCTTGGGGGTGGCAGGGCCTGGCCAGGAGTGCCAGCTGCACCCACATTTTAAGGTGACACCCCACAAGCTCAGCCTGTGGGGAAGGATGAGCAGCAGGACAATGATGGTGCTGCCAATCCCAACCGTGCAGGAACACTTCTGGCAAGGTTCAGGTAATTTCCCTTAGGGAAAGATTTGTAGATTGAAGAAGTTGTGGCTGTTCTAAGAAGTTATTTAAAGTGTCTGACAATGTTGAAAGGTTTTATGGTAAGTGGTTTCCCTGGAGTGCAAAACACAGCTCCACAAAGGCACTGGGAGGTGTGCTCAGCTCCGCTCACTGCCCCAGCTCAGGCAGGTTTTTGGTTGCATTGTTGGCCGAGCCAAATAAAAGAGCCTTTAATTCAGTCCTGTCTGTCTGTGTCTGAACAGCAGGGGATGCTTTCCTGGAACACTGGGGTGTTCCCTGTTGTGCTCAGTCTGCCCTGCTGCCAGCCCAGTGGCACAGAGCTTTGGGCCCTTTGAAGCCCTAGGATTCATTCCCATGGTGTCAAACTTGGGGGTCAAGCTCTTTGCCCCACTTGGTCCCATCCAACCAATTGAACATCAAGAAATAACTTCAGGACGTTTGGAGAGACATAAACCAGACAAACTCCTCAGGTGCTGGAGGGCGTCTGCTGGCTCCTCTTGTGCTTTGGAGCACTGGTGGCATCACCATGACACCAGACTGAGAGCTGTCCTGCTGGTCCTGGGTGACCCAGCTACGGTCACAGCTCTGCTCCCTGCTTCCCTCAGACCCCAGAGCACCCCAGTTTGGGCTCTTTCCTCCCCGTTGCTGGTCGGTTCAGCCCATGCCCAAAGCTCGGGGCACCGTGTGCCTGCTCTGGGGCTCCTCCACCGGGGAAACCCCCAGTCAGTGCCTGCACCGGGAGCCTCCGTCAGCGCTGGCAGGATGGGGTCAGTACCGGGCTCCCGGTGGGTCCATACCGGACCCCGGTCAGCTCTTGTGGAGGGGTCAGTACCAGGGTCCAGACGGGACCATTTTGGGGTCTCAGGGGATCTGTCCCGGACCCCCATCAGCATTTGCTGAGAGGGTCGGTGCTGGGATCCCTGCAGGTCCATACCGGACCCTGGTCAGTGTTTGCAGAGGGGGTCGGTACCAGAGTCTCAGTGGATCTGTACTGGACCCCGGTAAGCGCTTGAGGATGGGGTCGGTACCGGGGTCTCAATGGATCCTTACCGGACCCCCATCAGCGTTTGTGGAGGGGGTCGGTACCGGGGTCCCAACGGGTCCGAACCGGACCTCGGTCAGTGCTTGCAGAGGGGGTCGGTACCGGGCTCCCAGTGAGTCCATACCAAGCTCTCGGTAGGTCTGTACTGGACCCCAGTCAGTCCTTGCAGAAGGGGTCGGTACCGTCGGTACCGAGGTCCCGGTGGGTCCGTACCGCCTCTCGGTCAGTGCTTGCGGAGGGGGTCGGTACCGTCGGTACCGGGGTCCCAGGGGCTCGGTACCGGGGTTCCCAGTGGGTCCGTACCGGACCCCCATCAGCGTTTGTGGAGGGG